ACTGGGTGGGGGTGGTAGATGCACGAAACCCCCAACTCATCAAGTCGAGCGCGCCCAACAAGTTAACCCAGAAGGTAAACTTGTCGGGATACCGTAGCTAGATGAAGCGAGAGAACTCTCCTTGGGCTAGGGACTGACTTCAAGAAAATAACGAATCGGAGCGGACACGAGGAAAGCAAAAAGGGAAGGCGACAGGGCTGCCATGCTCCTAACTCCACCCTCCCGCGCTCAGCCTGGAGAAGGCCCAGTCTCGCTGGCTACTGCCCCTCCTTCCACCTCTTCCCAAACCCACCGAGCGGCGGCAGGAAAGGTCCCGCAGCCCTCTTCTCCCCTCCCCCAAACCGGGAGCTGGGGAGGCCCAGAGAGGTTAAGAGCTTCCGTTCCTTCCCCGCCCAGAAGTGAAGAGGTGGGAAGTGGAATTGCGAGTTCGTCCCGTCTCGGCCTCCCTCTCCCTCCACGCTTACCCGGGGCTCCGTTTCCGCCCAAGCCCGAGACTTACTCGTCAGCCCAGCAGCCACCGCAGCTGGGTCCCCGCGTACCGCCACAGCCCCTATTCCAGTGCCGCCCCCCCCACCCCCAGCTGCAAGCTCCCGTGGGTTCCGGGGCAGTAGGAAGAATTACTTCCGCTGGGTCAGGCCGCTTTCTGCGAAGCGCGGGAGACACGTACCTGGTGAAGCGAGGACGCAGAGTGTGTCGCTACTTCCGTCTGGAGGAAGTGCATACGCCCTACTCTCTTCTCCTATAGTAGGCCAGCCTATGAACGCCACCGGCAAATTTCGACCAATCCGAGTCTAGCTCTTCTGGATTCCCAGAATGCAGCGCCAACCCAGATCCAATAACTATAGGGACGCATCCTTAGAGAGGCTCTATGGAGTCGGAGACAGCACTGCATTCTGGGATTCGTAGTTTCTTTGGTGGATACCGTCGGCGTTGCGACCAAGGCAGGCCTGCATCCTGGAACTTGTAGTTTCTCGTACTGAGTGTTAAGATTTTGATGGTTTTAGAGATTGTCCTTGCCTCTCCTGTAGGGGTACGCTTGGAGGTGGGAGACTGCACAGCAAAGATTGAAAAGTGGGAGGGCGGTTTATTTGCTAACAAGATCGTGCTCTTTATGAAGCATTATCTGTCCCTTGTGAAAAATAGCTGTGCGTGCTGAAGAGCCAGCACAGCAATAACTAGCTCAATCGGCTGACCTCATTTCCTCTCTTCCCGGTAGAATTCAGTGTTAACTGAAAACTAACCATGCCCCCACTCCACCCCCGAGGGTCCTGCCTCTGCCTCTGTTTGCTCAGGTATCTTGGATTCTGAGCTCACGAACAGAAAATCCAACAAGTTTTGGGACCTTCTTTCTCACTCCACGCTCCACTTCACACCCCCTGTCTTTCCTGTGGTAAGATATACAGGCACCTTTCCTGGAAGGCTGAAACAGCTAAATAAAGTTCTCCATCTACTGTTTTCCAGGAGTGTCGCCTGAAGAGAATGTATGTAGGGCCAAGACAACATTGCAAGTTGCTCAACGAGGCACTCTGCGTGCTCAAAAAATAGATAATAGGCTATCCGGAGTTTATTGAACTAATTGAGAACTTGCCTGAAAGGATTTTTTCTTTTTTAAATTTAGTTGATTTGGTAGATAAAATGCATTGTTTCTTTTTTTTTTTTTTCTTCTAGAATTAATTGCAATAATCAAGGAGATTGTCCTGTATGAACTTTTCAAAGACTTTGTAGAAATCAGAACAAATATTTAAATATTTTTTGGCTGTAATGGTAGCTCGAAGTAGAGTTCGGTGGGGAGGACAGGCGTGGAGATGCAGATGAAGAGGCTGTAGGTCCATTTTCTTTTTTTCTTTTATTGAGAGGGAGTCTTGCTTTGTCATCCAGGCTGGAGTGCAGTGGTGCAATCTTGGCTCACTGCAGCCTCCACCTCCCAGTCTCAAGTAATTCTCGTACCTCAGCCTTCTGAGTAGCTGGGATTACAGGTGCGCACCACCACGCCTGGCTACTTTTTAGTGTGTTTTTCGTAGAAGCAGGGTTTCACCGTGTTGGCCAGCCTGGTCTCAAACTCATGACCGCAAGTGATCTGCCCACCTTCACCTCCCAGAGTGCTGGGATTACAGGCATGAGCCACTCTGCCCGGCCTAAAAAATCCTTAGATTCATACTAAAATCCCATTAAAGTAATTTATATTTAACAAATGTCTCTAAATTACTGGAACTGGAAAATCCCGCTAACATAAATAACAATTCTATGTAAATCTGTAGTACAGAGTTTTCAGAATATAATCTCATTTTATCTATTTAGAAATTTTGAGAAATGGATCAAATGTTTTTATTTTCATCTATTTACAATATCTGTAGGGGAAACAGCTTTACAGAAGATAAAGAAATTCTGATTCTCTCAATATACTTAAGAAAAACATTTTTATATGAAAAGTTTAGGGCCGGGCGTAGTGGCTCACGCCTGTAATCCAAGCACTTTAGAGGCCAAGGCCGGCGATCACCTGAGGTCGGGAGTTCAAGACCAGCCTGACCAACATGGTGAAACCCCGTCTTTAAAAAAAAAAAAAAAAAAAAGATAGAAAAAAAGAGAAAAATTTAAATATATTAGCAAAATAACAGAGTGAATATTGTGAATGAATTATCATAAACAGAATAATTTTTTTTTTTTTTTTTTTTTTTTGAGACGGAGTTTCGCTCTTGTTACCCAGGCTGGAGTGCAATGGCGCGATCTCGGCTCACCGCAGCCTCCGCCTCCTGGGTTCAGGCAATTCTCCTGCTTCAGCCTCCTGAGTAGCTGGGACTACAGGCACGCGCCACCATGCCCAGCTAATTTTTTGTAGTTTTAGTAGAGACGGGGTTTCACCATGTTGACCAGGATGGTCTCGATCTCTTGACCTCGTGATCCACCCGCCTCGGCCTCCCAAAGTGCTGGGATTACAGGCTTGAGCCACCGCGCCCGGCCAAACAGAAGAATTTTTAAAATATAAGTAGGCCAGGTGTGGTGGCTCAGTTTTATCCCAACACTTTGGGAGGCCCAGATGGGAGGATCCCTTGATTCCAGGAGATCAAAACCAGCCTGATCAACAAAAGGAGACCCTGTCTCCACTAAAAATACAAAAATTAGCTGGGCATGGTGGCATGGCCTATAGTCCCAGGTACTTGGGAGGCGTAAGTGGGAGGATTACTTGAGCCTGGGAGGTCAAGGCTGCAGTGAGCTATGATCATACCACTGCACTTCAGCCTTGGTGACAGAGCAAGACCCTGTCTCCAAAACAAAATAAAAGGTGGACACTGTGGCTCACCCTTGTAATTCCAGCACTTTGGGAGGCTGAGGTGGGCAGATAGCTGAGCCTCAGATGTTTGAGACCAACCTGGGATATATGGTGAAACTCCATCTCTACTATTTAAAAAAAAAAAAAAAAAAAAAAAATATATATATATATATATATATAAATTAAAAGAAACAAATATAAGTAGAAGCTTTTCATAAAATAAAGTTATTCATATAGAAGTGTTATCATTATCTCTTTCTGGATACTCCCTCCAATAGTAGACAGGATTTGGAGTTGCCAACATGATCATATTCTATTTATTTATTTTTATTTGTTTTGAGACAGGGTCTAGCTCTGTCACCCAGTGCAGTGGTGCAATCAGGGCTCACTGCAGCCTCAACCTGTTGGACTCAAGTGATCCTTCTGCCTCAGCTTCCCAAGTAGCTGGGTCTACAGGCAGGCACCACATGCCCGGCTAATTTTTAATTTTTTTTGTAAAGACAGGGTCTCACTTTGTTGCCAGGCTGGTCTCAAACTCCTGGAATCAAAGGATCCTCCCACCTGGGCCTCCATATATTACTGGAATTGCAGGCGTGAGCTCCTGCCCCTGGCCACACATTATTTTAGACTATGAATTTGTTCCTCTCCGGTGCAAATAATATGCCAAATCTAAAACAGTTATAGTTCTGTAAACAAAAGAGTGTCGCTATTACTAAGATGCTCATCCTTTAAGACTAAGCTGAATGTGAAGTCAGTCTGGAGACATACTGAGGCAAAATTAATCATATTCTTTGTACTTTTGTGGCATGTTTGTTATTTTTTTGAGATGCCGGGTCACTTTGTGGTCTAGGCTGGACTGCAGTGGTTTGTTCTCGGCTCACTGAAGCCTCGACTTTGAGCTCATGCAATCCTACCGTGGTCTCAGCCTCCTGGGTATCTGGGACTACAGGCACTCACTACCATGGGCCGCTTAGTTTTGTTTTAGGTTTTTGGGTTTTGTTTTGTTTGTTTTTGTAGAGACGGGGTCTCCCTGTATTGCTCAGGCTGGTCTCAAACTCCTGAGATCAGCGATCCTCCTGCCTAAGCCTCCCAAAGCTGTGGGATTACAGGTGCAAGCCACCAAGCCCGGCTACATTTTGTATATTGCGGTGTGTTAATTATATTACATTATATTGTAGCCCATTTTCAGGTGTTTCCTCCACTATTTAAGCACCGTGCATTCCCAATTTTATCTAGTATCTTTGTATTCTCTGCTACTAGCTTAGTCCTGGCAATAGGCACTCAGCGCCTGTTTAACAAGTAATTAATCAATGTGTATATGGATGTGAATGATGTCCGAACACAAATCTGATAAGACGTATCACTATTACATGAACAAATTCCATTTATTTTCCTTCAACCCGATGACTGAATTAAGCTATCATTCATTTTTGTTCAAATAGTATATTCTTCCTTCTGTGCCAACAGGCTAGAATCATTTTCCGCAATGAAAACCGTTTTTAGGGCTTAAAAAGTGTCGTCCACGAGAAAAAACGATTTAACCCTGGATTCTAGGTTTTGTCATTCTCACACAGCCCTTTACCCTTCCCCTCTGCCCTTCCACACTGTTAAAATAACATAGAACTATAGAAAGAGGAGCCGCTCAGCCAACAACAGAGCGGCGAGCTCACAGCTCACGGGACAGGTTACACGGACCGCCGGGAAGGCAGCAGGCGGGAGGCAGATTCTGCGCACGCGCCGACGGCGGCCCGCCAGGCGTCCCGGGGCTGGGCCTGCGCCGCTTTTGCAGCAGTCGGGTGGGAAGCCGGGTGTCTTCCGCGTGGCCTACTGAAGCTGCGGCGTCCCCACCGCTCATCACTCGCGGGATGCTCTTTCTGGCGTTAGGCCGCCCGTGGGCGGTCGATCTGCGGCTCGGCGGGAGGAGGACGGCATTGTGGGCGGCCGCCGCGTTCCTAGGCCCCAGGGCCTTTGTCTCTCGAGCGGCCTTCTGCAGCAAGCTCTCAGGGCCGGTCGCCGGCGGGAGCACGGGACCCTGGAGAGCCGCGCGCCTTCTCCAGCGTCCCGGCCGAGCGCAGGTCGGACGTCAGAGGGCCAGTGTCCCGAGTGAGGCGGGGAGGGCGGGCGTCGCGTCAGGCCTGGGGAGCCCTGGGAGCTCTCCGCGATCTTTCCGGGTTGTCCTTGACTGGAGCGCGTGGGAGCCCCCTCTGCGGGGCTTGCAGAAGTAGCAGTCCGAGGGCCCCGGGATGCTCAGCATCCGCGATCTAGGAGAACGGCTGGAAAGTGCTTACTTTTATGGTGGTTCCAAATCCAGCGGGTTTTGTGGTGACAGCTGTATGTAGTTCCTTTTCTACCCTTGAGCAGAAGCTTAGAAGTGTAACTTTGCAAAGAAAATTGGATGCAGCACCTTGAAATAGAACGGAGAGCCAGGTTAAACCTGACTTTGAGCTTGCTCTACTTTTAGTAGGTAGCTGTACTTTTTTTTTTTTTTTTTTTTTTAAAGACGGGGTTTCACCATGTTGGTCAGGCTGGTCTTGAACTCCCGACCTCAGGTGATCCTCCCGCCTTGGCCTCCAAAGTGCTTGGATTACAGGCGTGAGCCACCACGCCTGGCCAGGTAGCTGTGCTTTTAAGACTTACTTTGGTCTCTGGGAAAAGGGGTGATGCAGATGTTAATTCTTTAATTTTGATTTGAATAAACTGTCTCCCAATTCTAACCTGTAAAATATCAGGATTGGCAAACCTGCTTAAAACCTGGAAGAAATGCATAAAATGGAAATTGGAATCTAACTAAATTTCAGCATTGAGGAATTAGACATGGCTTTTACATTTTGAAGTGTATACACTGTGAAACTCATTTTCAGATGTTTGGGGAACCCTTCTGTTCCCTTGAAATTTGATGTAGGATTTCAAGTAAATTTTATTTCTTTTATATTTATTTTTTTTTTGAAAGTGGTCTCGCCCTGTCGCCCAGGCTGGAGTGCATTGGCGCGGTCTTGGCACACTGCAACCTCTGCCTTCCCGGTTCAAGCGATTCTCCTGCCTCAACCTTCCCAGTAGATGTAATTACAGGCGCGCTCCATCACACCTGGCTAATATTTTTGTATTTTTAGTAGAGACCGGTTTCACCGTGTTGGCCAGGCTGGTCTCAAATTCCTGACCTCAAATTATCCACCCTCCTTGGCTGGGATTATCCACCTTCCAAAGTTCTGGGATTACAGGTGTGAGCCGCTGCCCTGGGCCAAATTTTATTTATTGTCAAGAAATAAAAAAGGACCAGGGAATACACGGTATTTACAAGGTATTTAGAGAAATAGTTGATCTTGGGGCCGGGCATGGTGGCTCACGCTTGTAATCCCAGCACTTTGGGAGGGCGAGGCGGGTGGATTACCTGAGGTCAGCAGTTCAAGACCAACCTGGCCAACACGGTGAAACCCTGTCTCAAAAAAAAAAAAAAGAAAAAGAAAGAAATAGTTGATCTTTTTTTTTAATACTAACATATAAATATTTTAGAAGTCTTTAAAAAAAAAAAAAAGGCCTGGACTTTAAATATAATCTGAGTTTGCAGAGTGTTTTATTTATTTTAGTAAAATTTTGGTTTTTTTGAGATGGGGTCTTGCTGTGTTGCCCAGGCTGGCCTTAAACTCCTGGGCTCAAGTGATCCACTTCAGTCTCCCCAGTAGCTGGGGCTACAGACATGTTCCATTACGCCAGCTAAATGTATTTATTTATTTATTTTAAAGATGGGGTTTCACCATGATGGCCAGGCTGGTTTTGAACTCCTGACCTCAGGTGATCCACCCACCTCGGCCTCCCAAAGTGCTGGGATTACAGGTGTGAGCCACCAATGTATTTATTTTTTGAAAAGGTGTTGCATTTAAATAGAGTGGAATGATGTCCTCATTAACAGTGGAGTAGAAGAAACTTCCACGATTTTTACTTGTTCAACATCACTCTAGACCTAGAAACCTGAGAGCTGGGATGCAAACCTAGCAGACTCCAACTCTGCAGTTTTCTACTTGTGACTAGAATTAAGGCAAGCCATTCTGTCAGCTAATTGATTTCTTTAGCTCTAGATTATTTGGGAGAATTCCTTATGTCACCTCACATGACAAGTTCTCTTCATTACAATTTTATTTTTTTGAGACAGCGTCTCGCTCTCTTGCCCAGGTTGGAGTGCAGTGGTGTGATCTCAGCCCACTGCAACCTCTGCTGCCTGGGTTCAGGTGATTCTCCTGCCTTGGCCTCTTGAGCAGCTGGGATTACAGGCACCCTATTGGCTGGACTGTTCTTGAACTCATGACCTCAAGTGATCCACCCTCCTCAGCCTCCCAAGGTGCTAGGATTACAGGCATGAGTCACCCTCCTGCTCTCTTTACTGCAATTTTAAAAATAAACTTTAGGCCGGGCACGGTGGCTCATGCCTGTAATCCCAGCATTTTAGGAGGCCAAGGTGGCAGATTACTTGATGTCAGGGGTTCAAACCAGCCTGGCCAACATGGTGAAACCCCGTCACTACTGAAAATAAATTAGTGGGCGCATGGTGGCGGGTGCCTATAATCCCAACCCCATGGTGGGGTGCTGAGACAGGAGAATCGCTTGAACCCTGGAGGCGGAGGGAGGTTGTAGTGAGCCGAGATCATGCCATTGCACTCTAGCCAGGGCAACAGAGTGAGACACTGTCTCAAAAAAAAAAAAAAAAAACTTTAAAAAATTTAAGAAGGTTGATTGACCATAATGGTCTCTGTTTCAATAGATCCCTGTTTGTTGGGAAGGATGTGTTCGATGCTCACATACGCCATCTGACAAATCAGAAGATGGAAGGCTTATTTATACTGGCATTATGGCCCGAGCAGTGTTTGGTGAGTAATTGGAAGTGAGGATATTTACTCTTTTTTTTTTCTTTTAATTGTCAAAATATTCTTACCATATGTTATTTGTTATGGCATCCCTTAATTACAAGACATAAGGAAAATTAGATTTTCTTTTTTTGTTGTTGAGGTGTGTTGATAAGATGCAGAGACATTTGCATTTTTAGATTTTTTTTTTTTGAGACAGAGTCTCACTCTTTTGTCCAAATTGGAGTGCAGTGGCACGATCTTGGTTCACCACAACCTCTGACTCCCACCTTCAAGCGATTCTCCTGCCTAAGCCTCCTGAGTAGCTGGGATTACAGGCGTGCGCCACCACACTTGACCAATTTTTGTATTTTTAGTAGAGACAGGGTTTCACCATGTTGGCCAGGCTGGTCTTGAACTCCTGACATCAAGTAATTTGCCACCTTGGCTTCCTAAAGTGCTGGGATTATAGGCGTGAGCCACCATGCTTGGCCATTTTTAGGTTTTAAAAAGATGTTAGAAGGCTGTATTATTTGTGATGTTATGACTAGGCACTCAGACTTTCTTTGGTCATCTCTCACAGGATGTTTAACAAAATAAAAACAAAAAGTGTCTATATATGGCCGGGCGCAGTGGCTCACGCCTGTAATCCCAGCACTTTGGGAGGCCGAGGCGGGTGGATCACGAGGTCAAGAGATCTAGACCATCCTGGTCAAAATGGTGAAACCCCGTCTCTACTAAAAATACAAAAATTAGCTGGGCATGGTGGCGCATGCCTGTAATCCCAGCTACTCAGGAGGCTGAGGCAGGAGAATTGCCTGGACCCAGGAGGCGGAGGTTGCGGTGAGCTGAGATCGCACCATTGCACTCCAGCCTGCGGAACAAGAGCGAAAATCTGTATCAAAAAAAAAAAAAAAAAAAAAATTGTCTATATAATGTTTGAATATGCAGCCTTAGCCCCCAGGTAGCTGGGACTACTGATGCGTGCCACTACGACGCACAGCTAATGTTTGTATTTTTTGTAGAGATAGGTTTTTACCATGTTGCTCAGGCTGGTCTCAAACTCCAGACCTCAAGTGATCCGCACACCTCGGCCTCCCAAAGTACTGGGAGTACAGGTGTGAGCCACCATGACCAGCCCATTGCCAGTGATTGTTAATTGAGCAATAAATAATTACTGATATCATCATAGTATTCATTGTGAATTTTGTCAGGAACTTTGTGTCAGGGATGTTGCTCAAAGATAATGCAGAATCCTAAGGTCTGGTAGAAAAAAAGAATACATCATAATAATCATAATAAGTAATTTATTAGAATAGATTTGAGTTCAGAAGGCAGATACGTTATTTTCAGGTTAGGGAGAGGATGAGATAGGACAGACAGGATCAGGATAGAATTTTAGCTGGGTCTTTTAAGATAAGTAGGATATGAATATGAAGATGTACAGGAAGGGCACCCCAAGCTTGGAAGTCGTGTGAGCAAAGACATGAAGATGGGAAGTCCCAGAATACGTTTAGAAATAGCAATTATTCACAGCAGGCAAAATAATAGTGTATATGTATATTAGTTTCCTCTGGTTTCTGTAAAAAATTGCTACAAGTTTGGTGAATTAAAACCAACTGATACCTTAATTTTATACTTCCAGTCTCCAGAATTGGGAGAAAATACAGATTTTCTCCCAATTCTGGAAAGTATAAAATTAAGGTATCAGTTAAGGCCTCCTGATATCCTAGAGCCTTCAGATCTTTTGAAGCCTTCAGGGAAACATTCTTCCTTGTGTTTTCCAGCTTCTGGTGGCTCCTGGCAACCCTTGTCATTCCTTGGCTTGTAGCATGTAACTCCAGTCTCTTCGTCAGTCTTCACGTGGCCTTCCCTGTGTCTACTTGTCCTTTTCTGCATACACTGAATTTAGGGTCCATCCTAATCCAGCATGATCTCATCTCAGTCCTTAGCTAAATCTACAGAGACACTGTTTCCAAATAGAGTCACATTCTGAGGTTGTGGGTGGACTTGAAGTTTGGGGAGATACTAATAACCCACTACAGTGTGACAAAAGTAAGGAGGGAAAAGGTATTTTGGATGGGCTGAGGGTACTTTTTTTTTTTTTTGAGACGGAGTCTTGCTCTGTCACCCAGGCTGGAGTGCACTGGTGTTATATCGGTTCACTGCGACCTTTGCCTCCCAGGTTCAAGCGATTTTCCTGTCTCAGCCTCCCGAGTAGCTGGGACTGCAGGTGTGTGTCACCACCCTGTGTTTTTGTATATTTAGTAGAGATGAGATTTCACTGTGTTAGCTAGGATGGTCTTGATCTCCTGACCTTGATGTCTGCCCACATTGGCCCCTTTTTAAAAAAATTATTTTATTTTATTGAGATGGAGTTTCGCTCTTGTTGCTCAGGCTGGAGTGCAGTGGTGTGATCTTGGCTCACAGCAACCTCTGCCTCCTGGGTTCAAGCAATTCTCCTGCCTTAGCTTCCCAAGTAGCTGTAATTACAAGCATGTGCTACCATGCACGGCTAATTTTGTATTTTTAGTAGAGATGGAGTTTATTCATGTTGGTCAGGCTGGTCTCGATCTCCCAACCTTAGGTGATCTGCCCGCCTCAGCTTCCCAAAGTGCTGGGACTATAGATGTGACCCACCATGCCCGGCCTGGCTGAGCATAGGTGTCAACTTGATTTCTGTTGTTTCTCATGCAGTTAGCAATGTCATTGCAACTACCTGTGGGAAGAGGGAAATTTAAAATATTGTTAAGTTTCTGACACAAGATAATTAGGCTTTCAGCCAATAGCAATGTATAAGAGTGTTTACTTTGTTATAGCTTCACCAATAGTTTGGTGTCAGACTTTTGTGCTTTTGCCAATTTGGGGGGAAACCAGTATCTTACTGTGGTTTTAATAGCATGTTTCTTATCAATAAGGTTTAGCATCATTTTTTTTTTTTTTTTTTTGAGACGGAGTTTTGCTCTTGTTACCCAGGCTGGAGTGCAATGGCACGATCTCGGCTCACCGCAACCTCCGCCTCCTGGGTTCAGGCAATTCTCCTGCCTCAGCCTCCTGAGTAGCTGGGATTACAGGCACGTGTCACCATGCCCAGCTAATGTTTTGTATTTTTAGTAGAGACGGGGTTTCACCATGTTGACCAGGATGGTCTCGATCTCTTGACCTCGTGATCCACCCGCCTCGGCCTCCCAAAGTGCTGGGATTATAGGCGTGAGCCATCGCGCCCGGCCTAGCATCATTTTTTATCCGTTTAAGGGCCATGTACATTTGTCTCTTTAAAATACGGTTGTTCTCATATTCCAGAAGCCTTTTATGTATTAGAGATACTAACCCTTTGTGATATAAGTTGAAAATATTGTTAGCTGGGCACGGTGGCTTACTCCTGTAATCCTGCACTTTGGGAGGCCAAGGTGGGCGGATCACGAAGTCAAGTTCAAGAGCAGCTGGCCAACATGGTGAAACCCTGTCTCTACTAAAAATACAAAAAAGTTAGCCAGCGTGGTGGCGTGCGCCTGTAATCCTAGCTACTCAGGAGGCTGAGGCAGGAGAATCGCTTGAACCCAGGAAGCAGAGGTTGTAGTAAGCCAAGATTGCACCATTGCACTCCAGCCTGGGTGACACAGTGAGACTCTGTCTCAAAAAAGAAAAAAAAAGTATTGTCTCCATTTTTTCACTTGTCTCTTTGTTTATGGGTTTATGTCCATGTACTTTTTTTATGTAGTCAAACTGTCAATCTTTCCCCTTGATTGCTTCTGTATTTTTGAGTCATAATTAGAAAAGTTTTCCCATTCTCAGATTATAAGGGACTTCATGGATGTTTTCTTCTTATCTCTGTATGATTGTACTTTTTACAATTAAATCTCTGAACTATTTGGAATTTTCCTGGTATATTGTATGAGGGATCGATTGAAATTTGTCTTCCCTGTAGCTATCCAGTTGTCCCAACACATATTATTAAAAAGCCCGTCTGTTACTCACGGATTTTCGGTTATATCTTTACCCTATACTAAATTTCTGTATGCAGTTGTGTTTATTTCTGTATTTTCCATTTTGTTCTATTGATCTACTTATGCCCCAGTAATACACTGTTTTAATTATATAGGGTCTTCTATTACGGGTTTTTTTGTTTATTTGTTTGTTTTGTTTTTTTTGAGACAGAGTTTCCCTCTGTTGCCCAGACTGAAGTGCAGTGGCACAATATCAGCTTACTGCAGCCTCCACCTCCCTGGTTCAAGTGATTCTCATGCCTTGGCCTTCCAAGTAACTAGATTACAGGTGTGTGCCACCACGCCTGGCTGATTTTTGTATATTTTAGTAAAGACGGGGTTTGGCAAAGCATCTCAGCCAGGCTGGTCTCGAACTCCTGAGCTCAGATGATCTACCCACTTCGGCCTTCCAAAGTACTGGGACTACAGGCATGAGTCACCACACCTTGCCTCTATTATGTTTTAATATTTGGAATGTTTTATTTATTCATTTATTTTTTGCTGCTTTTGTTTTTTCCAAATGAACTTTATGATCAATTTGTTTAGGATCTCAACTTATTTTCCAACAGATGGTAATTTTTATTATGATCATGTTAAAATCATAAAGCTAAGATAAATTTACATTTTAAGTCTTTTTTTTATTGTGGTAAGATAAACATAAAATTTTTCATTTTAATCATTTGAAGTATATCAAAGGCATTAAAATTTTTTTTTAATTTTTATTTTTTAGAGACAGGGTCACACTCTCATCTAGGCTGGAATGCAGGGGTGTGATCATAGCTCACTGCAGCCTTAAACTCCTGGGCTCGAGTGATCCTCTCACCTCAGCCTCCCAGATAGCTAGGACTACAGACATGTGCCACCACACTTGGCTGTTGTTTTTTTTTTAAAGCCAGTCAAATTTAGCAGTGTGGGGGCTGTATACCAACTTTAGTGACACCAATGTTCTGATAACTCATAATCCATCAGACCAGCCTTGGCTAATTTTTTTTAAAAATTTTTGTAGAGACAGGTCCTCCTATGGTGCTTAGGCTGGTCTCAAACCGGTCTCAAGCACTCCTCCTGCCTAGGCCTTCCAAAGTGCTGACATTACAGGTCTGAGTGACTGTACTCCGCTAGAAGTCATTCGTTTTTTATCTTTCTAAGGTAATAGGTGAAAATGGTATCTCAGTGTTGTATTTTTATTTATTTATTTATTTGTTTATGTATTTATTGAGACAGAGTTTCACTTTGTTGCCTAGGCTGGAGTGCAGTGGCATGATCTCAGCTCACTGCAACCTCCACCTCCCAAGTTCAAGCAGTTCTCCTGCCTTAGCACCCCCAGTAGCTGGGATTATAGGCGCATGCCACCAAGCCCGGCTAATTTTTGTGTTTTTAGTAGAGACGTAGTTTTGCTACGTTGGTCAGGTTGCTTATCTCATTGTTTTAACTTGAATGTCTTTCCTTACTAAAGAAGTTACCTTTAAAGAAGAATACCTTTCCCATATGTTTCTCTTTATTTATTTATTTTTTTTTGAGATGGAGTCTCACTTTGTTGCCTAGGTTGGAGTGCAGTGCGCAATCTTGGCTCACTGCAACCTCCACCTCCTGGGTTGAAGGATTATCCTTCTTCAACTTCCTGAATAGCTAGGACTACAGGCATGTGCCACCATGCCTGGCTTTTTTTTTTTTTTTTTGTATTTTTAGTAGAGATGGGGATTTACCATGTTGGCCAGGCTGGTCTCAAACTCCTAACCTCAAATAACCCACCCGCCTCAGCCTCCCAAAGTGCTGGGATTACAGGCATGAGCCAATGTGCTTGACTGTCCCATGTGTTTTTTAACCAGTGATGTTATTTCTTTGGTGATTTGCTGTTTTAATCCTGGGCACTTAGCCTGATAGAATTTCCCATGTTTTAATATTTATGTTAGGTGTACTGGAGTGCTTATTAATAGAGAGTTTTGTTTGATAATCTGCTGTCTGAATCAACTTTGATAGTAGAGTGTTAGTAAGGATCTTTAACTAATATTAACTACTTTATTGTGGAACTGAGGTAGAGGCCACTTAAATGCTAAAGCAGATTTCCTGTGTGGAGAGGCAGTGCGTTCTAATGGTCAATGGCATGGACATTGGAGTCAAAATATGTAAAGTCCTTAAAACAGAGCTTGGAATGTAATAAGCACTGTATTTATGGTTTGATTTTATCATCTTGATCTGATACAGTAAGAAGAAAGATGGAAGAATTATTGGGATAGATTGATTTTTTTTTTTCTTCTTTTTTTTTTCCTTCATTTGACATGCAGGTCAAAGATCGATTCTTTTTTTTTTTTTTTTTGAGACGGAAAAGATCTATTCTTTTATAAATTTAAAAGTATTGATCCTCTCTCTTTTTTTTCCCCCATTTAGGTGTGAGATGCTTCTCTTACTCCACGAGTCTGTTTAGCCTTATATGTCTGCCATACTTCGTTATATACAATAGTGATTTCTTTGAAAGTCTGCCTCTGTCTGTTCAAATCGTATTTTGTGGCACCCTAGGAGTCTTTACGGTGATCTCCCCAGTGGTGCTTCACTTTGTTACAAAAAGCTATGTCATTCGGTTGTACCATGATGCCACAACAGACACTTATAAAGCCATTACCTACAATGCTATGCTTGCAGAAACGACTACAGTGTTTCACCAGAATGACGTGACGATTCCGGACACTACACATATATTTACCTCATTTCATGCTAAATCAAAAGCACTGTTAATTAATCCAATGCACTTTCCAGAGCCTGATGACTTTGTCCATCTAATGGGTTATGACCAAGAATTCCCTGAAGAAGCCAGTGAAGAGAAACAGCATAAAGATGAGAAATGAGCCTATTTTTTAATGTTGGTACTTAAATGTGATTTATGTTTCAACATATAGTAATAAAATTGCCTTTTGCATTCTGTTAGTGGCTGATTGTTAAACATAATATGAAACTATCAAAGCTTTTAAATTTCAGAGAATGATGTTTGTTTATAATAAAACAAGCTCTGTTTGAAAGCCAAAACGTAGTATCTACCATTTTTGTTTTAGAAAAAGGTGTGTGAGTCTGGGCATGGTGGCTCACTCCTGTTATCCCAGCACTTTTGGAGCCTGCGGTGGGCGGATCATGAGGTCAAGAGATTGAGACCATTCTGGTCAACATGGTGAAACCTCGTCTCTACTAAAAATACAAAAATTAACTGGGCGTGGTGGCATGGGTCTGTAGTACCAGCTACTTGGGAGGCTGAGGCAGGAGAATCGCTTGAACCCAGGAGGCAGAGGTTGCAGTGAGCCGAGATCGCGCCACTACACTCCAGCCTGGCAACAGAGTGAGACTGTCTTAAAAAAAAAAAAAGAGGTGTGTGAATAAATATGTTTATGCTGGTGTAAGAGTTCTGTATAACTGTGGTTGACTCTAAACTGGGCATCTGATGCCAGTAGCAAATGGGAGAGTTACTTTATTCTCTGTATGGATTTTTCTAAGTGTATGAATGATTTCCTACATTAAAAAAAACATGTTCTCTCTTGAGGAAGACAGTCATAGGTGGTGTGAAGCTGTGGTCCACTTGCTCCTGCTCTTGACTCACTGCTGTTTGCTCCTGCCTAGGAACCAAGTCACTCAGGAAGCTGGTCAGGAAGCCTTGTAGTACCCATGGCTTTTTTTCTGGGGAGGATGGAGTTTCGCTTTTGTTGCCCAGGCTTGAGTGCAATGGTGTGATCTCAGCTCACCGCAACTTCTGCCTCCCTGGTTCAAGCGATTCTCATGCTTTAATCTCCTGAGTAGCTGGGATTACAGGCATGCACCACCACGCCTGGCTAGTTTTGTATTTTTAGTAGTGACAGGGTTTCTTCATATTGGTCAGAGTGGTCTCGAACTCCCGACCTCAGGTGATCTGCCTGCCTCTGCCTCCCAAAGTGCTGGGATTACAGGTGTGAGCCATTGCCGGGCTTACAGCCATGGCTTTTAAAGATATCGGGAAACACCCGTGGAACCGGAGGTGGCAATTCGCCGAATTCAGATCACTCTAAAATGAGTCGCAACGTAAAATCCCTGGAGAAGGTGTGTGCTGACTTTATCAGAGGAGCAAAAGAAAAGAATCTGAAAGAACCAGTTTGAATGCCTACCAAGACTTTGAGAATCATTTCAAGAAAAACTTGTGAAGGTTCTAAGACACGGGATTGTTTCCAAATGAGAATCCACAAGCGACTCACTGACTTGCACAGCCCTGAGATTCTTAAGCAGATTACTTCCATCAGTATTGAGCCAAGAGTTGAGATGAAAGTCACCATTGCAGATGCTTAAGTCAACTATTTTCATAAATTGATTACTGGTTGTTAAAGAAATTTTTAAAAACCCCAGATTTCAAGAAATTCACAAATTACGGGAGCAGTTTTAAGTCTCCTTTGGTTCATAACACAGGTTTTTGCCTAACCCCTGGCATGATTGCCCATAGGAACATTCATGTACAGTTGAATTGGTGGTTAGCTCTAAGGGAAATAAGTAGTGTTGTCTTTGGTGGTCTTAATTTGTTTCTCCAGCTGTGCACTCCTCCTTTGGTGGCACCCTATGGGTGTAGGAAAACCACTGATACTAAATAGGTAAAAATACCTTGTGTAAAATTGCTATCTCTATGCTAGCCTTATCAAGAATATCCATTGTAAGATTTTTAACTCTATTGTAAAGTCTTGCCAAGGATTTTCAGCCAGGAACAAGAAGCCTCAAACCACACTGTTTAGATCAGTAGATATTTACTAAGTACCCAGTACTGTGCTAGTTACTAAAATCACAGTTAAGAGCAAAACACCCAGCCTGTCTTTATGGAGCTAACTAACATTGTCTATGGCCATCATGATAGTAAATTTAAACTTTATGGAGTACATGTGTATGAGGGATGTCGATGGGGAAGCAGCAGGGGCATCTCTTCAAAGAGAAAGATCACTCAAGTCCCAGGCTGCTAAAACTTATTCATAGGAGGTAAGACAGAAAAGCCATCTTTCTGAAACCTAGAGCCTGCCTTCTGCTCAGATTGTCCAGCTCACCAGATTCAGAATTCCCAACTCCATTCCTCTGTACCATCTTCTGCTCAGATTGGGCCTCTCCCTGCTTGTTCCTCTGTCCTTTGTTCCCTAGATGTATCCTAGCAATGAATGAGAGATGTCTTCCTGGTTTTTTGTTTTTTTTTTTTCATAGCAACCTACTAGACAAGGCAAGCTTGTCCAACCTGCAGCCCAAGACAGCTTTGAATGTGGCCCAACACAAATTTGTAAACTTACGTTTTATTTTTGAGATTTTTTTTAAAGCTTAACAGCTATCATTAGTGTATTTTTTTTTTCTTGAGATGGAATTTTGCTCTTGTTGCCCAGGCTGAAGTATAATGGTGTGATCTTGGCTCAGCGCAACCTCTGCCTCCTGGGTTCAAGAGATTCTTCTGCCTCAGCCTCCTGAGTAGCTGGGATTACAGGCATGTACCACTATACCCGGCTAATTTTTTGTATTTGTAGTAGAGACAGGGTTTCTCCATGTTGGTCAGACTGGTCTCAAACTTCTGACCTCAGGTGATCTGCCCGCCTCTGCCTCCCAAAGTGCTGGGATTACAGGCATGAGCCACTGCGCCCGGCCATCATTAGTGTATTTTATGTGTGGCCCAAGATAACTCTTCCAATGTGGCCCAGGGAAGCCAAAAGATTGGACACCCCTGAGATAAGAGATATCTTTCTATAAAAAGTTATTCCATGATCAAATGTTCACTATGGCCATATTAGAAAGTAGAAGGAAAATATGAAAATAGATTAATATGGAAGCTAAAGTTAAAAAAAAAGGTAGAAGAAAGAAAGAGGCTGGTTGTGGCTCTCTCCTGTAATCCCTGCTACTTGGGAGGCTGAGGTGGGAGAATTGCTTGAACCTGAGAGATCAAGGCTTGCAGGGAGCTGGGATTGCACCACTGCACTCCATCCACAGTGACAGAGCAAGAACCCTATCTCAAAAACAAGGAAAAATCACTCCTAGTTCCCCCCAGAAAAAAATAGCATTTTTTACATTTTAAAGTTCTCTTCCAAGATGTTGAAAATGGGTTTATAACGCCAGGAAGAATTCACAATGAGAAATTGATCGCTCAGCAAGGCCAGTTTACTTTCTGCACAAAAGGTGCGACTCACCAGCAGTCTTGCTGTGAGAGCACGCCTGAACAAAGGAGACGGACATTTATAACTTCCATAACCTGAAGCAGTTGCTCTACTGCTGTATCCAGTTTTCATTGGCTGGAATGGGGCCTCACATTCTATGCTTGACCCGATTGGCTAAAAACTTGAAAATTTCCTAAACAGATAAGGGGGAAAGAAGACAAGGAAGAAGACGAGGAAAAAGAGAAAGCTAGTCAAGAGAAGGTCGGGAGGGTTTCCAAATAAGGAATGGCATGCACCAGGGTTTGGAGCTTGCCCAGTTCTGTTCAGACATGCTGGAGCGAGTCAAGGTAGCTGATTTAAGACATAGCTGATTTAGAGAATATACATGGGTATATGTTTATGCTAATAGCAGATAATGGCCATTGAGCAAGAGATTGTAACTCCTTATAATGTAGTCTAAAAGATAAACTTTGAAGAACTTTCTCATCTCTCACACAGGATTACCTCTCTTTCTAACTTGTTTTGAGTACAATGTATTTTTTCTTTACATGTTCTATATCCATGTGATCATTTTCTCACTGTGTAGCTGAGTGAAAAACTTGTTTTTATTGGTTGATATCAGAATAATTCTTCAGAAGACAATTTAGTAGTCTAGCGGAAAAATACACTTACACTAAGTGGGAGGGGTGACCTCTCAAGGGCATGATCTGGAACGAGAGGCTAGGAAGGAGAGAAGATCAGCATGCATAGGATAATAGGGTGATTCATCCCTGAAATAATCAGCAGAATCAACTCAGGCCAAAGTTAAAAGGAGAAACATACGCACCTCCCTCATGCCACTTTACTACCCTACCCCAGGCAGAGTAATCTCAGGAAGACAGGGAAGGTAATGAATCTCTCACTGTCTCGGGAAGGTGAATCACTTTTTTGCATCTCAAAAGTCATCTATTTGCATCTGAAAAGGCAGGGTGATCCTAGCTGACATCTGGGTTATATCAGGTAATAACCCTGCTAACAATAAAATATTGCAATATTTTCCGTAATGTAGATCTCACTGTACCGAAAAGGCTTTTGGAAGCAAAAGTAACGAGATGGCCATTAGAAATGAATGACAGTCTTAGTGTGGATGTATTTGTAAAAATTTTATTCTGATTCTTTTAGAACACCTTGTACTTTTGTTGTTGCTTTTATTTTATCGAGAATTTCAAACACACAAGTAGAAGATTACAGTGAACCTGCATGACTCTATCATCTAGATTCAACAATGACCAATTTGTAGTCAATATTGTTTCATCTAGACCCTAATCATTTGCCGTCTACTTTTTTGGGAAAGCAAATTCCAGTCACAACAACATTTCTTTCTTAAATATTTATTTTGATAACTCTACAAAATGAGGACTTCTTTAAAAATGTAGCCACAATACCATTATCGGATCTACAAAAACAAAACAACCCCACAACCCTAATGTCATCAAACATCAGTCTGTTTAAATTTCCAATTGCTTCATAATTTTTCCCACATTTGGTTTGATTTAAGATTCATATAATCAGACCAGAATAAGGAGTTGGTTAAAAAAATTACATACAATTAGCTGGGCATGGTGGCGCGTGCCTGTAATCCCAGCTACTCAGGAGGCTGAGGCAGGAGAATTGCCTGAACCCAGGAGGCGGAGGTTGCGGTGAGCCGAGATCGCCCATTGCACTCCAGCCTGGGTAACAAGAGCGAAACTCCATCTCAAAAAAAAAAAAAAAAAAAATTACATACATATCTCCAAATAAGTTTTATATCTTACATACACCAATTGTTTAAATATCTTTTAAGACTTCTAAAAGACATTAAGAAGACATTCAGACACATCTTTTAAAAGATGGCCAGGCATGGTGGCTCACGCCTGTAATCCCAGCACTTTGGGAGGCTGAAGCAGGTGGATCACCTGAGGTCAGGAGTTTGAGACCAGCCTGGCAAACATGATGAAACCCCGTCTCTACTAAAAATACAAAAAACTAGCCAGGCGTGGTGACACACGCCTGTAATCCCCGCTACTCAGGATGCTGAATCAGGAGAATCGCTTGAACACGGAAGGCAGAGGTTGCAGTGAGCAGAGACAGCACCACTGCAGTCCAGCTTGGGCAATAGGAGCAAATCCCTAAACTGTATTTTAACTCTTGTCTTGGGAAAAAAAAAAGACATTTAGACGTTGAGTCCACACTTCCCAGACTCAAACAATATTCCCACCTCAGCCTCCAGGGTAGCCAGGGACTACAAGTATGTTTCACCATGCTGGGCTAATTTTTTTTATATAAATTGAGACAGAGTCTCGCACTGTCACCCCAGCTGGAGTGCAGTGGCACGATCTTGGCTTACTGCAGCCTCCACCTCCCAAGTTCAAGCGATTCTCCCTCAGCCTCCGGAGTAGCTGGGATTGCAGTCGTCTGCCACCACTCCCAGCTAGTTTTCTGTATTTTTAGTAGAGATGGAATTTCACCAAGTCAGCCAGGATGGTCTTGAACTCCTGACCTCAAGTGATCCATCCGCCTCAGCCGCCCAAAATGCTGAGATTACAGGTGTGTGCCACTGCGTCTGGCCGAAGTGTCTTGTTTTCTTTTTAAAGCTTTGATCACTCTCATTTATATTAAATGTTAGAAAAGAGTACATTCTGAATAATTTTCCTCTCTTACCTTGCAGGAAGTACTCAAATGTTGAACACACACACACACAAAGAGGAAACAGTTGGATAGGAACTCAGAAATCACGTGACTGATGACTAAGTTAAATCTTTTCTGCTTACTGAAAAGGAAGAGTCCGATGATTAGTTACTGATCGTCTTGCATTTGTAAAGTTTTGGAGATACTGAATCATGCTACCATTTATATTTTTTTCCACCCTATTTTCTTCCATGTTTACCGAAGCTCAGAAGCAGCACTGGATCTGCAACTCCTCCGATGCAAGCATTTCATACACCTACTGTGGTAAGTAAAACAGCAATAACAAATAATTGTAGCATCAACTATGTCGAGGGTGAGTTTTCACAAGATCTTTACACTGTTGTGGCTGGAACACAGGAAACGTCAGTGTGTTCCAGCTGCTGTGGCGGAAGCTGCCAGCAGGAAAAGCAATAGCTGGCAGCTGCCCCGTGAGAAACTTCTCGACACCTCCCAGAGCTCGCGAGTGTCTAAGCGGTGCTGTGGTTGACCTCCAAATGCTTCTGCTGCTGTCTGCGTCATCTATCTCTACGCTGAGCCCAGTTTCGGGTTCTGCCTGGTTTCAGTAGAACCGTCTGCTTCTGAGCTTTCGCCTCTGCCTCAATCCCTACTAGTTCTTCTTGAGATGGTGGAGCAATCCCAGCTCCTTCCTGGAGTTGATTTCTGCTCCAAGTTGTGACTTTTGAGGGCTCTTGGAATCCTCTCCCTAACGATGTAAGCCTGGTTCTGTCCCTAGCTGTGTGGCCTTAAGCAAAGTATTCCAGCTGTTTTAGCGCTAAAGCGAAAGTGATTTTGAGGCTACTTGATCAGGGTGTTGTGAGGTGAAGTTTTTTAGCATAGGGTCAACATAGAGTCAATACTATTAATTTCTTTTTTTTGAGTCAGCCATACCCTAATGCTATTCACTGGTTGTATCACTGTCCCCTGCCCCAGCTGCTCATTAGCAAACGTCCTCAGGTCTGAAGGCACAGTGTCAAGGCCTGACAGCTGTTTTGGTTAGGTACTTTCCACTGCACTGCCCTTGTCCACCCACTAGCGATATCCAGAAGGTTTAAAGTGATGCTTCCCAAAATACCAGTTCTTTGAGATTCTTTTGGGAAAATAGGATCTATGACCTAATCATCCGTGAGAGATTTACAGGTGTGCTTTGAGTTCTGAGAAGTTCTGCAATAAAGGCACCTGTTTAACCGCAACATTTTCAATTCCATTTGTTTTCTGTTTTTTAGTCTGGAGTGTATGCTAACCGGCTTGAGAAACATGCTCTGGCCAGTGCTGACGTAAAGTGACTTTCGGGGAATTAGGATAATTGCCACATATGAGGAGGAGACTTAGGAGTGTGGCCAGTCACACACCGTGGCCCTTCTCCTCCTGGTGGCTTGCACTGAATTCCCTCTCAATGTATCTCTAAAATCTCTCCATGCTACAAGATCTGTTTGCATTCCCCTCTTCGAGCAAGGCTCCTACTCTACACGGCCCCCACTTTCCTCTCCCCCTTTGGCTCTTTTGTACCATGTGTGGATTATGCCACTCTTTTTGTTTTTTTTTTTTTGAGATGGAGTCTCGCCCTATTACTCAGACTGGAGTGCAGTGGCGTGATCTCTGCTCACTGCAACCTCTGCCTCCAGGGTTCAAGTAATTCTCCTGACTTAGCCTCCTGAGTAGCTGGGACTACAGACATGTGCCACTGTGCCTAGCTAATTTTTGTACTTTCAGTTGAGTCAGAGTTTCACCATGTTGGCCAGGCTGGTCTTGAACTCCTGACCTTGTGATCTGCCCACCTTGGCCTCCCAAAGTACTGGTATTATAGGCCTGAGCCACTGTGCCTGGCTGGATTATGCCATTCTTTATATGGTCATTATGGATATAACATTTTGTATTATTATTTAGCTTTTAATCTTTCTTAATAACAATTTGTCTTTTAAAAAAATTTCACATTTTATTTTATTATTTATTTTTGAGACAGGGTTTTGCTGTGTCATGCAGGCTGGAGCGAGTGGCTTGATCTCCACTCACTGCAACCTCCACCTCCTTGGTTCAAGCCATCCTCCCAGCTTAGCCTTCCAAGTAGCTGGGGCTACAGGCACATGCCACCACACTTGGCTAATTATTAATTATTATTATTGTTGTTATTTTTGAGTTTTGCTCTTGTTGCCCAGGCTAAAGTGCAATGGCGTGATCTCGGCTCATCTCAAAAACTACCTCCTGGGTTCAAGCGATTCTCCTGCCTCAGCCTCCCAAGTAGCTGGGATCATAGGTGCCTGCTACCACGTCTGGCTAATTTTTGTGTTTTTGGTACAGATGGAGTTTTGCCATGTTGGCCAGGCTGGCCTCAAATTCCTGACCTCAGGTGATCTGCCTACCTCGGCCTCCCAAAGTTCTGGGATTTCAGGCATGAGCCACCACACTTGGCCTAATCATTAAATTTTTTTAGAGATGGAGTCTTGCTATATTGCCCAGGCTGGTCTGGAACTCCTGGGCTCAAGTGATCATCCCACCTTGGCCTCCCAAAGTGCCGGGATTACAGATGTGAGCCACTGCACCTGTTCTAAGATTTCACATTTTAATCATTTTTGAGTGTTTGGCTCAATTGTATTAAGTATATTCAGATTGCTGTGAAACCGTAACCATTGGGTGTCTTTTGATTTGACTAATTTTTTTTTTTTTTTTTTTGAGACAGAGTCTTACTCTGTCATCTAGGCTGGAATGCAGTGGTATGATCTCAGCTCACTGCAACCTCTGCTTCCTGGGTTCAAGCAATTCTCGTGCCTCAGCCTCCTAAATAGCTGGGATTACAGGCGTGCACCTCCATGCACGGCTAATTTGATCTGACTTACTGAAGGAAGATCTTACCTCTTCCTCTCTGAGAAACCCTGTGGTCCTTTCCTGCTACCCACTGACAAAAAGACTGTGGCAAGCCACTGGGGTACACATGTACAGCAAGATGCTGCTTACTGCCATCCCCACTGCCATGTGACTGCCTTCCTGGCCTGAGAAATCCATCCTGCATGGCCGGAAATGCATTACCTGTGGGAAGCACTGACTTTTCTAGGTACTATTGTGAGGGTGGTGGTGACAACAAACTCTAATTCACTGTAAGGATGATTTCCATGAAAAAGAATAGATAACTTTCCATTTGGCCAAGCTGCTGGGCGCATGAGTCTATTTTTTTTTTGAAGTCAGGGTCTTGTTCTGTTACCGAGACCGGAGTGCAGTGGTGCAATCATGGCTCACTGCAGCCTCAACCTCTAAGGCTCAGGTGATTCTCCCACCTCAGCCTCCCAAGTAGCTGGGACTACAGGTGTGCACCACCATGTCCAGCTAATTTCTAAATGTTTTGTAGTGACGGGGTTTTGCCATGTTGTCCATGCTGGCTTTGAACTCCTGGACTTAAGCAATCTTCCTGCCTCAGCTTTCGAAAGTGCTGGAATTACAGGCTCCAGCCACTGATTCCTGGCTGCAGTGTCTTAATTAGGTCAGGTGCTGTAACAAAATAGACTGGATGGCTTAAACAACAAAAATTTATTATTTCATAGTTCTGGAGGCTAGAAGTCCAAAATGAAGGTGTCTGCGTAATTGGGTTCTTCTGAGTCCACTCTCCTTGGTTTGCTGCTATGTTTTGAATTTTGTGTCCTTGCAAACTCAGGTTGAAATTTAATTGCCATTGTGATGATGTTAAGAGGTGGGACCTTTAAGAGGTGGTTAAGCCATGAGGGCTCTTCCCTCATGAATAAATTAATGTCATTTTTAAGGGAGTGAGTTTCTTATAAAAGGATGAGTTTAGCCCCCTTCTGTCTCTTGCTTTTGTCTTCTCTTGCCCTTCTGCTCTTCCACCATGGGATGAGACAGCGGGAAGGCCCTTGTCAGATGCCAGCACCTTGATAACGGAACTTACCAGCCACCAGACTGTGAGAAATAAATTTCTGTTCTTTATGAAGTACCCAGACACCAGTATTCTGTTACAGCAGCACAAAGTGGACTAAGACACTCGCAGCTGGCTGCTTTCTCACTGTGTCCTCACATGGCGTTTCCTCTGTGTGTGTCCTAGCTTATCTCAATGATCTTTGAAATGCCTTTCAGGTCATTCTCCTATTGTCTTGATATAGAAGAACACCTGGCTCCCTTCTATCCATACTAATTTTCTTTATCGAATGACCACTTGGCCACACCTTTGGTTTGCTCTCCTAATGATGCCTTTTCACTATATTTACAGCTAGGCTGTGAATTTTCCAAATCTTTTCACTCTGATTTCCCTTGAATTATAAATTCGGTTTTTTGTTTTGTTTTGTTTTGTTTTTTTGCAATGTCAATTCACTTTATTTTTCTTGTATAAAAACCCTATGTTGTAGCCACAGCTGGAGCTTGGGTCCTCTGCATGGAGACTCTGGTGTGGGTCTTGATGAGGTGGTCAGTGAATTCCTGATAGGGAGACTTGGTGAATACAGTCTCCTTCCAGAGGTCAGGGGTCAGGTGGCTGTAAGTCTTAGAGATGGCATCAAACATGGCCTTGGCGAAGTTGCCCAAGGTGGCAGTGCAGCCCCTAACTGAGATGTAGCAGTCATCGATACCAGCCATCATGAGCAGCTTCTTGGGCACAGGTGCCAGTGCCCCTGGGTGCGGGGATACCACTGCCCCTGGGAGCGGGGATGAGGCGCACCAGCACAGAGCCACAGCGGCCTGTCACCTTGCAAGGGACAGTGCGGGGCTTGCCAATCTTGTTCCCCCAGTAGCCTCTGCGCACGGGGACAATGGAGAGCTTGGCCAGAATGATGGCCCCACGGATGGCAGTGGCCACCTCCTTGGAACACTTAACACCCAGACCGACGTGACCATTGTAGTCCCCAATGTAGTCCCCTGGTGCACTGGCCAGCACGGGCCTGCTTCTGCACCGGCATAATCTTCAAAACCTCATCCTTGAGAGAGGCCCCCAGGAAAAAGTCAATGATCTCAGATTCCTTAATGGGCAGAGAGAAGAGGTAGATCTCCTCCGGAGACTTAATCTTCACGTCTTTGACCAGGCGGCCCAACTTGGTGACAGGCATCCACTCCTTATCCTCAGCTTTGCCTCCGTGAACTCCGCGACCTCGGCCCCGACCCCCATCCACGGCCGCGACCCCGGCCCCGATACCACTGTGGAAACCTCCGCGGAAGCCACTGCGGTTCCCCATCCCAGGGCCCCCGGGCCCCCCTCCACCCGCCCTCCGCTGCACCGGCGTCAACCGCCATTTGGTGTTTTATCCGAGAAGAAGCTAAATTCGGTTTTTAAGTCACTTCTCTCTTCTGTCATTTTATTACACGTGGCCAAAAGAAGCCGTGCAGCACCGTGAGCACTTTCCTGCTTGGCTGTTTCTTCTACCAGATAGTATAGATCTTAAGTTCTACTTTGCACATAGTTTTAGGACACAGACAGGAGTCCATCAAATTCTTTGCAACTATGTAGCAAGATGATCTTAATTGTAGTTTCCAATACCTTGTTTTTCATTTGTGTCTGAGACCTCATCAGAATTGCCTTTACTTTACATATTTCTACCAACATTCTGATTATGACCACTGAAGTAATCGCTAAGAATTTCCAGATTTTCCCTACATTTCTTCCCTTCTTCTGAGCATTCATCAGAATTGCCCTTAATACTCTGTTCATGGCAATATGGACTTTTTTCTAGCTGTTCCTCCAAACTCTTCCAGCCTCTACCTGTTACCCAGTTTCAAAGCTGCTTCCATATTATTAGGTACTTCTTATAGCAACACCCCACTTCTCTGGCACCAATTTTCTATATTCATCGGTTATGTGCTGCTATAACAGAATACATAAGACTGGGTAATTTATAATAAACAGAATTTGTTTGGCTCGTGGTCCTGGTGGTTGAGAAATAAAACACTGAAGCATTCCATCTAGCAAGGGTCTTCTTGCTGCATCATCCATGGCAGAAGGGCAGAAGGCCAAAAGGCACGTGTGAGGAATGAGGAAGGAGGCTGTACTCATCCTTTTATCAGGAACCCACCCCCACAATAACTTATCAGCTCCTGCAACAACAGCATTAATTCATTTGTAAGGGCAGAGCCCTCATGAACTGATGACCTCTTGGAGGTTCCACCCCTCAATACTCTTGCATTGGGGATTAAATTTCCAATGCATGAACTTTAGGGAATACATTAAAACCATAGCAACATCTTATAGTTATGACAGTCTGGTTTAAGCTGATAATAACTTAAATTGAATCACATAACAGCTCTACACTTTAGGAGTTGGAGACCAGCCTGGGCACCAAAGAAAGACCCTATCCTTCATTTAACACCAAACTCAGTGCCTCAAAAAAAAAAAAAAAAAAAAAAAAAAAAAAAAAAAAAGAAAGTCCCTATCGCTACAAAAACAATTTTTTTTGTTTTGTTTTGTTTTTGTGACAGTCATCTAGGCTGGAGGCTGGAGTACAGAGGTGCGATCTCAGCTCACTGCAACCTCTACCCAATAAGTTCAAGCAATTCTCGTACCTCAGCCTCCTGAATAGCTGGGATGACAGGCACGTGCTGTGCTGACATGCCCAGCTAATCTTTGTATTTTTTGCAGAGATAGGGTTTTGCTGTGTTGGCCAGGCTGGTCTTGAACTCCTGACCCCAAACCATATGTCCTCCTTGGCCTCCCAAAATGCTGGAATTACAGGCATGAGTCATCTGGCCTCTCCAAAAAAATTTTTTTAATTAAAAACAAAACAAAACAGGCCACGTGACGTGACTTATGCCTGTAATGCCAGCACTTTGGGAGGCTGAGGCAGGAAGATCACTTGAGTCTAGGAATTCAAGACCAGCCTGGGCAACATAGTGAGACCTCTTCTCTACAAAAAACAAACAAACAAACAAATAGATAAGCATGGTGGTATGCACGTGTAGTCTCAGCTATTGGCAAGAAGATCACTTGAATCCAGGAAGTAGAAGCTGCAATGAGACATCATTGCATCACTGCATTCCAGCCTGAGTGACAGAGCAGACCCCTGTATTTAAAAACAAACCAACAAACAAACAAAACTGTTTCATTGGGCTTCTTGGGTTTGTATTTCCATTATCTTCCCTAGATTTGGGAAGTTTTCAATCTTTCTTTCTTTCCTTTTCTTTTTTCTTTTTTTCTCTCTCTCTCCCTCCCTCCCTCCTTCCTCCCTTTTTCTTTCTTTCTCTCTTTCTCTTGTTCCTTCAGCCAGGCTGGAGTGCAGTAGCATGATCTTGGCTCACTGCAACCTCTGCCTCCCAGGCTCAAGGGATTCTCATGCCTCAGCCTCCCAAGTAGCAGAGTTTGTAGCCATTATTTATTTGAATAAACTTTCTGTAGTCTGTTCTTTTTTCTTCCACTTCTGGAACTCTCATAATGCATATATGGTTCTGCTTGGTGGAGTCTTATCAGTACCTTAAGCTTACTTCACTCTTTTAAATTATTTTTTCTTTTTGATTCTCTGATTGAACTCTTTTCCAGTGACCTGTCTCTGAGTTCACTGATCCTTTCATCTACTTGGTCTAGTCTGCTGCTGAACCCTTCTAATGAACTTTTTTAGTTCAGTTATTGTGTTCTTCAGCTCCATGATTTCTTTCCTTTCCTTTCCTTTTTTTTCTTTTCTTTTGAGATGGAGTCTTGCTCCGTCACCCAGGCTGGAGTGTAGTGGTACAATCTCAGCTCACTGCAACCTCCACCTCCCGGGTTCAAGCTATTCTCCAGCCTCAGCCTCCCAGGTAGCTGGGATTACAGGCACATGCCACCATGCCAAGCTAATTCTTGTATTTTTTTTAGGAGAGACGAGGTTTCACCACGTTGGCCAGACTTGTCTCAAACTCCTGACCTCAGGTGATCCTCCCCCTTTGGCCTCCCAGAGTGCTAAGATTACAGGCATGAGTCACTGTGCCCGGCCTTCAGTTCCATGATTTCTGTATGGTCCTTTAAAATGTTTTCTTTCTTCTTGCTGAAATTCTCACTGCATTCATGTATTGTTCTCTTGACCTCAGTGAGCATCTTTATGAGAGGTATTTTACATTGTCTGTCAGGTAAATCATATAACTTCATCTCCCTAAGGTCAGCGAGGGAGATTTGTCTTGCTTCTTTGTTTGAAACATCTTTGCCTGATTTTTCTTTTTTTCTTTTTTTTTTTGAGACGGAGTTTCACTCATGTTACCCAGGCTGGAGTGCAACGGCGCCATCTTGGCTCATCGCAACCTCCGCCTCCCGGGTTCGGGCAATTCTCCTGCCACAGCCTCCTGAGTAGCTGGGATTACAGGCACGCACCACCATGCCCAGCTAATTTTTTGTATTTTTAGTAGAGACGGGGTTTCACCATGTTGACCAGGATGGTCTCGATCTCTTGACCTCGTGATCCACCCGCCTCGGCCTCCCAAAGTGCTGGGATTACAGGCTTGAGCCACCGCGCCCGGCCTTTGCCTGATTTTTCATTTTCCTTGTCTGTTTGGCATCTGCATGTTATGAAGCAGACATTTCTTTCAGTCTTCACAAGTTGGCCTCAAACAGGAAAACACCCTCATCTATTAGCCTGGTTGGAGATCCTGGGAGCCTCTACCAACTCTTTCTCACTTCAGGGAGAAGCAGGCAGCTGTGTTTTTTTTGTCCTCTTATTCTGTACTGAGCCAGAGACGGGGTGGTAGAGGGAACTGTGGCATCTACCAGCCCAAGCTGCTGTCTCCATTCCCCTGCCAGGCAGCTAGACTATGGCAGACCTGTCAGAGCTCCAGGACTGATGAGAAAGATGTAAATTTTGGGGGATCCCCAGAGAAGTTGGGGTGCTGGATTCATGGATTAACTCTTTCCCACCCCAGGAGAAAGCTGAGAGCTAGGATTTTTCATCTGCTCACTCTGTGCTGAGCAGAGGGGAGGATCAAGGATGCCTGTCTGTTCAAGCCACTGTCTTTATTCTCCCCTGGGTGGTAGACTGTGCCATACTAATCAGAGCTCCAAGACTGGCAAGACAGAAGCCAGTCCTCTGGGGAGCCCTTGTGAAAAAGCTGGGGTGCTAGACATGTAAAACAACCTCTTTCCTCCCCTGGGTAAATCTAGGAGCTAGGGAGGGTCTCTTCCTGATTATCTGACACCACACCAGGGTAATAATCCCTGGATAGAGAATGTCCCAAGGCTCCTACTGGCTTTGCTGAATCTGGTTTTGTGTTCTCCTTGGCTGCAGGAGTCTTTCGATTAGTTTGATTTCTCACAAAGGGAATTTGTCTGTAAATTGTTGTGTTAGTGGAGGCAAGGAGAGTTCAGGGCTTCTGATTCTGCCACATTGCTGATGTCATTCCTCTGGGGAGATATTTTCAGCCTCCGTCAATTTTTCTCATGTTATAGTTTTAATGCAAAATTCAGCTTAAAAGGCTGATATCCAGAGCACTATACTTATTGGAGGGGATTTGCAATAATTTATTGACATTGTCTTTATTGCTTTTAGATAAAATGCAATACCCAATTTCAATTAATGTTGATCCCTGTATAAAACTGACGGGAACCAAAGGATTGTTGCACATTTTCTACATTCCAAGTAAGTACAAATTTTGCTTTTATAGGCAAATTGAAAGAGTTAAGAAATATCAATGATGGCGGGCATGGTGGCTCACGCCTGTAATCCAAGCACTTGGCCAAGGCGGGCGGATCACCTGAGGTCAGGAGTTCAAGACCAACCTGACCAACATGGTGAAACCCTGTCTTAAAAAAAAAAAAATCAATGATAAATGATTGTGTTCCAAATATACTTATATTCATTATCTATTGCTATGTAACAAATTACCACAATCTTTGTGGCTTAACACAGCACACATTTATTATCTCATCATCTTTGTCGACCAGTATTCTGGGCATGGCTTACCTGTGTCTGCTTCAAGGTCTCCCATAAGGCTACAATCAAAGTGTTTGCCAGGACTGGAGTCCCTTCTGAGGCTCAACTAGGAAATATATACTTTTTTTTTTTTTTTTTCTGAGACAGAATCTTGTTCTGTCACCCAGGCTGGAGTGCAGTGGAGCAATCTCAGTTCACTGCAACCTCCGCCTCCTGGGTTCAGGTGATTCTCCTGCCTCAGCCTCCCAAGTAGCTGGGGCACCTGCCACCATGTCTGGCTAACTTTTTGTATTTTTCATAAAGATAGGGTATCTCCATGTTGGCCAGGCTGGTCTCAAATTCCTGACCTCAAGTGATTTGCCCATCTCGGCCTTCCAAAGTGCTGGGATTATAGGTGTGAGCTACTGCGCCCGGCAGGAAATATACTGTATACGTCTAAGCTCACGTGCTGCTGTCAGTATTCAGTTGTCAGTATTAAGTCCCTTGCTGGCTGCTGACCATCCCTCAGTTCCTTACCACATGGGCATTTTCAACATGGCTGCTTGCTTCTTCAAAGCCAGCAAGGGGGACAGACAGCTAAATAGACAAAAGTCACAATCTTATGTAGCATAATCATGGAAGTAACACTCCATCACCTTTGCTGTGTTCTATTGGTTAGAAGCAAGTCACTAGGCCAGCCCATACTACTGGGAGAGGATTACACAAGAACATATGGGTGGAAATGGAAATAACTTAAGATGTCCAACGATCTTACAGGCATATCCTTTGTCAATCATTAGCTATAAGTAATATTGGGTTTTCATTAGTCAAAGATCTGTGTGTGAGCAAGCCGGAACTTCACTTTTTTTTTTTATTCTTTTAAGGCAGAGTCTTGCCCTGTCACCCAGGCTGGAGTGCAGTGGCACGGTCTCGGCTCACTGCAGCCTCTGCCTCCCAGGTTCAAGTGATTCTCCTGCGTCAGCCTCCCAAGTAGCTGGGATTACAGGCACCCACCACCATGCCTGGCTAATTTTTGTATTTTTAGTAGAGATAGAGTTTCACCATGTTGGCCAGGCTGGTCTCGAACTCCTGACCTTGTGATCCGCCCACCTCAGCCTCCCAAAGTGCTGAGATTACAGGCATGAGCCACCATGCCCAGCCTAAAAATTATTAAAGTTGATCTTTTTAGAGAAAAATACAGTAATAACAGGATGACAGAAGGCAATGTATTTTGTTTTGCTTTGTGTTGTGTCTTGGTTTTTCTCTCTATGACTTTGCTTGTTATCAGCTTACTAAAAACTAATGCATGGGGCTGTAACTGAGTCTCTGTGGAGACACAAAATTTTATCCTCTACCAGTTACCTAGCATTGCTTACTGCCTGTAAACTCTGGAATCCCAGAAAACTTTAATTTAGTCTTTATCGTCATCATTATCACCATAATTCACATCCTAGGTTAGATTTGGGGCTTGTTTTATATTAATACTTTACAAAGTAGTTTTACGTAAATAAGCTTAAACATTTTCCCCCTGATTTTAGTTATCTGACTTACCAGAAAAATGAAAAAATAGCAACAAACTCCCCAAAACTGAGAACCCAGGAATGATAGACAATAAACTTGTGTTTTAATTTTTATAATTCTAGTCATTCAACCTGTTTTTTTGACACTCTGTATCTGCATTCATTTATTCACTAAAAAATGCATAGTAAATGTATAGTATATTATAAGTATTGTGCTAGGCACTGTGAATTCATTGATAAGATATTCTTTTTTTTTTTCTTTTTTTTCTGGAGATAGAGTCTCTCTCTGTTGCCCAGGCTGGAGTGCAGTGGTCAGATCTTGGCTCACTGCAACCTCTGTCTCCAGGGTTCAAGCCATTCTCTTGCCTCAGCCTCCTGGGTAGCTGGGATTACAGGTACCCACCACAATGCCCTGCTAATTTTTGTATTTTTAGTAGAGATGGGGCTTCACCATGTTGGCCAGGCTGGCTTTAAACTCCTGACCTCAAGTGATCCACCTCAAGTCTCAGCCTCCCAAAGTGCTGAGATTACAGCTGTGAGCCACCACGCCCAGCCAATAAAATATTCTCTTCGTCTTCAGGAATCCATCAGTGCAATAGGAGAGACAGATCTGCAGATAGTACAGTGTAAATGAAGTGATAGCAATAGGGTTTAGTGACAGCACGGAGCAAAGGATGATTAACTCTATTTCCCCCACCTTCCTGCCCAAGGATAAAATAAATAATCTAAATTTTGCTTGGCTAAGGCTCTACAGTTTCTTCCTTTTTCCTAGGTTCTGTTTTCTGGTCTGTTGGCAGGTTTTACCCCTTTGGCTTAAAGGATGGTTTACATAATGAATAATTTCACTTTCAAGTGAATTCTTTGCCCTTACACACAGGAAACAGGTTGTATCCTTCCATGCCAAAATAATAAGACAGTACGAAATCATTTGGAGTTATCTGAAAAGCAGACACTAAGAAGGAATTAGACAGGCTTGAGATTTCTTGGAGGAAATGCTTGTGAACAGTAAAGGGGAGAGGAAGCCAGAGTAGGCTGGGAGAAAATTCAGGCTGGGGTACAGGTCTGATACCTTTGAAAAGAGAGTAGGGAGGGATGCCGGGCACAGTGGCCCACACCTGTAATCCCAGCACTTTGGAAGGCCGAAGCGGGTGGATCACGAGGTCAAGAGATCAAGAGATCAAGACCATCCTGGCCAACATGGTGAAACTCTGTCTTTACTAAAAATACAAAAATTAGCTGAGCGTGGTGGCACACACCTATAGTCCCAGCTACTTGGGAGGCTGAGGCAGGAGAATCACTTGAACTGGGGAGGCGGAGGTTGCAGTGAGCCAAGATCACACCACTGCACTCCAGCCTGAGTGACAGAGCGAGACTCTGTCTCCAAAAAAAAAAGAGAGTAGGGAGAAAGGATTAGGTAGGATAATCCTCAGACCAGATTGCATCCCTGAGACATTCTTGGCCTGGGGAATGGGGAGCCCCAGAGCAGAATGCCTGTCATAAGAGTCCTATGATAGGCGGAGTAGCCTGGATCTAGGATCCTTGCAGTGCTCAATCATTATAGGAGCAGCCTATGAGAGTGTGGCCTCTGGCTGAGTGCTGAGATAGATGGGAAGTGCTGCAGCTGCAGGCTGTCTGCCAGCTACTCTCCTCACAGCAGCTGCTTTTGAAGGGAACTTTGAGGGACATACCTCCATGGCCATCACAAATGTTATATAATTTCTCACTAAATATGACATTTATATAAGAAATTATATTAATTCATTAGCAAACTATTCAGTCATACATTTATCGTGCAATTATGACCCAAGTTGCCATAGAATATACTATAATGTTGGTATAAAGTGTGGGGCCACATTCCTGAAAAGCAACCTTATTTTTATGACCTTATTTCTGCTTGAATTCAGGAAAAGATATAAGTACAAACTGGAAACAAAAATAGGTTGGGAATGGAAATGATATATTTTGAGATGTCATAGCCTTGCTAGTTAATTGTTTGTATATTATTAACTGATCGACAGATAAAACTGGAGCATAAGCTTCCTTCGAGGTTATTTCTGGAAGTTCCTGGAATTGTCTTAGGTGAGCTAAAAAATAATCCTCTTTTATACCACATGACAGCCACCATGTTTTTTTAGTTTTTTTGAGATGGAGTCTCACTGTCTTCCAGGCTGGAGTGCAATGGCATGATCGCGGCTCACTGCACCCTACGCCTCCTAGGTTTTAGCAATTCTCTTGCCTCAGTCTCCCAAGTAGCTGGGATTACATGCACACACCACCACACCTGGCTAATCTTTGTATTTTTAGTAGAGACGGGGTTTCCCCATGTTGGCCAGGCTGATCTCGAACTTCTGACTTCAGGTGATGTGCCCGCCTCAGCCTCCCAAAGTGCTGGGATTACAGGAGTGAGCCACCGCACCCGGCCCATGTTTCTGGTCTCTCACTCCAACACCCACATTGACATCCCCAGCCTGCTGAGCCACAAAAGTGGTGTCTCATTATTGCCATTGTTCATGTTCTTAACATGACCACAGTGGTGTCCAAGGCCAATGAGCCTCTCACAATGTAAACTATAGAGTTGTCAAAGCAGGACTTCTTTCCCTGGAGTCATTGAAGCCTGGAATCATGCTGTGTTTCATGAAGAAATGGAAGAAGGTCCTTTGTCCTGCATTGTCACTGCACACCACAGTGGCTCTGTCTTGTGCTTCTGTGTCTCCAGGAATTTCTTGTGAAAACCGTCTTTCAATTTCTACGCACAGCCTCACTTTTAGAAAAGTTCCAGCCCAAGTCCATGGAGTAGGCCATGGGATCACTGTTTGAAAAAGACTCCATGATATTCTCCACACCCTACTCTGAAAGTCCAGAAGTGAAGACAAATTAGGAAGGTTGGTGGTGCTTCAGGCTCAGAGCAATGGGGGCCTGCATGAAGGCAGTGGTAATGGGGATGGAAAGGAAGTTAGAAAGATTTACTGGGACTGGGAATTCTAGTGCCAATTTGGTGATGAAGAGGAGGAAATCACTTTTAGATCTGTTGGGTGAGGTAACTGGGTAGAGATATTGAATAAATACATGGGATAGGTGCTAAGGAGAAAGGTTGAGTCTAAAGTTGATTTGAGAATTGTCACCTTATGTGGTACTTGGCTCAGGAGAGTGTGCAGAGTGAAAATTGAGGAGAACTGAGGATAGAACACTGAGGAAGAGGAGTCAGTGCAATAGGCTGAGGAGGAGGAGTCAGAGCGGTTGGAGGACACCTGGAAGAGAGTGGTTGCACCAGCACCAAAGAGGGTTTAGGGAAAGGAGCAGTAAGTTCTGTTAAACAACCAATTTCACATTAAAGTTAGAAAAGTTGTCTTTTGATTATGGCTACAAGGAGTCATGGTGATCTTACTAGGAAAATATTTTCCAGTGAGGTGGTGGTTACAAAATTGTTTTCATTATAAAAAGGACTGTGCATCTTTTTCACTTGGGCCAACTGAATACGTTGAAAGAGTTGAGAAAAATGCATTGATTACTGGAATTTTTCATGTTAATTAAAAATAGGGAGATCATAAGGAAATAAAAAATAGCCGTATATTTAATTTTTCATCAAAAGATTCAATGTTATTGTAAAAAACTTTCATTACAACTCCTAGTGAGTTGACTGTCTTACTGTTCCTTTCTTTTGAATTTTCTAGCAGAACCATGACTAGAACTAGATATTTTCTGTCTTTATTTGATAGTTTTCTCAATGAAGTTATGAAGGCTCTTCTATTTTTAGGCATAGCATGCATAGTTTTACTGTGGAACATTGTGTTTGATTATGATCAAGTGCATTTGCCCTCTCAGAACTTCAGTTTTCTCATCTGCAGAAGAGTAATAATTCCCACCTTATAGATAGTTGTGATGATTTAATGAAATAATGTAAGAAAAGCACAGAGCCCCTTTTAAATATACAACAAATGTTAATTATCATGTATAAAATAACCTGTTGGCTGGGCACGGTGGCTCAAGCCTGCAATCACAGCACTTTGGGAGGCCGAGGTGGGCAGATCACGAGGTTAAGAGATCAAGATTACCCTGGCCAACATGGTGAAACCTCGTCTTTACTAAAAATACAAAAATTAGCTGGGCATGGTGGTGCACACCTGTAGTCCCAGCTACTCAGGAGGCAGAGGCAGGAGAATCACTTGAACCCAGGAGGCAGAGGCTGCAGTGAGCAGAGATGGTGCCATTGCACTACAGCCTGGGCAACAAGAGCAAAACCCCCTCCCCAAGAAAAAAAAAAAAGAATCTTGGTATTTGAGGGCCTAATGGGATTTTTTCTTTTTTAAGGGAGAGATTTAAAGCAATTATACTTCAATCTCTATATAACTGTCAACTCCATGAATCTTCCAAAGCGAAAAGAAGTTATTTGCCCAGGATCTGATGATGATTATTCTTTTTGCAGAGCTCTGAAGGGAGGTAAGTGTTCAGTTCATATTACTTTTATAATAGGAAATAATTTTTTATAAAAAAGTTACAAAAATTATACACATTGAAAATATGAAGTTCCTTTTCTGCTGATAATTCTTTTTCCAGCCAAAGTTTTTACTTTTAGCAGCTTAAATAGCATTTTACAATTATGTACCTGACTTGTTAAGACGAACTTATATGATTTGTATTATTAATATTTTTCATAGTAACCCACCAGATTTTCTATGCAGTCATTGGTTTCTTCAATGACTTCTCCCTTTATGTTCCTCCTTGGAATTATTTACAAAATCATAACATTCAGAAATTAGGACCCTTACAGAGATCTTGCACCAAGGGATTAAAAAAAATAAAAATGAGGCTGGGCGCATGGCTCACGCCTGTAATCCCAGCACTTTGGGAGGCCAAGGCAGGCAGATCACCTGAGATCGGGAGGTTGAGACCATCCTGGCCAATGTAGTGAAACCCTGTGTCTACTAAAACACAAAAAACTAACAACTGGGCATGGTGGCTCATACCTGTAATCCTAGTACTTTGGGAGGCTGAGGCGGGCAGATCATGAGGTCAGGAGATCCAGATCTACCTGGCTAACACGGTGAAACCCTGTCTCTATTAAAAATACACAAAATTAGGTGGGAATGGTGGCACGTGCCTGTAGTCCCAGCTACTCAGGAGGCTGAGGCAGGGGAATCACTTGAACCCGGAGGCAGAGGTTGCAGTGAGCTGAGATCGCGCCACTGCACTCCAGCCTGGGTGACAGAGCAAGGCTCCTTCTCAAAAAAAAAAAAAAAAAAGAGGCCGGGTGAGCAGGTGAGGTGGCTCACAGGGGGGCTCACATCTGTAATCCTGGCACTTTGGGAGGCCAAGGTGGGTGGATCACAAGGTCAAGAGATCGAGACCACCCTGGCCAACATGGTGAAACCCCCTCTCTACTAAAAATACAGAAATTAGCTGGGCATGATGGTGCACACCTGTAGTCCCAGCTACTCAGGAGGCTGAGCAGGAGAATCACTTGAACCAGGAAGTCAGAGGATGCAGTGAGCTGAGAATGTGCCACTGCACCCCAGCCTGGTGACAGAGCAAGACTCCGTCTAAAAAAAAAAAAGAGAATAAAAAAAGAAATTAATCACTTTAAAGCTATATTCCAGCTTTTCCATTTACCAGCAATGTGACTTTCAGCATGTTATTCACATTTAACCTTTCTTGGCCCCATTTTCCTCAGCTGTAAAATGGGAAAGTAAAACACATCATACATCGTTTTAAGAATTAGAGAATGTGGGCTGGGCGCGGTGGCTCAAGCCTGTAATCCCAGCACTTTGGGAGGCCGAGGCGGGTGGATCACGAGGTCAAGAGATCGAGACCATCCTGGTCAACATGGTGAAACCCTGTCTCTACTAAAAATACAAAAAATTAGCTGGGCATGGTGGTGCGTGCCTGTAATCCCAGCTACTCAGGAGGCTGAGGCAGGAGAATTGCCTGAACCCAGGAGGCGGAGGTTGTGGTGAGCCGAGATCGCACCATTGCACTCCAACCTGGGTAACATGAGTGAAACTCCGTCTAAAGAAAAAAAAAAAAGAATTAGACAATGTGTATTAAAAAAAAACAAACTAGAACAGTGTTCAAAATAAGAATCCTTCTTTTTTTGTTGTTTTTCCAGTCCCGTTATTTTTGTAATTGAAGGAACTGATGTCTGCAATGGTTCAGTCATGTGTCCACGGTCATTTGGAGAACTAGTAACAGAGCAGTCTCCTAACTCTAAGGCATCACTCTTCTACTGTGCCATGCTTTCTCTCTGAAAAAAAAAAAAAAATCCCTTAGCAGATTACTGGCTTTTAAAAAATTGTACATTTCTTTTCTTTTTCTTTTTTTTTTTTCTTTTAGATGGAGTCTCGCTGTATCACCCAGGCTAGAGTGCATTAGTGCAATCTTGAAGCCCACTGCAGCCTCTGCCTCTGGGTTCATGTGGTTCTCCTCCCTCAGCCCTCCCAAGTATCTGGGACTACAGGCGCATACCACCACACCTGGCTAATTTTTGTGTTTTTAGTAGAGACAGGGTTTCACCATATTGGCCAGGCTGGTCTCGAACTTCTGACCTCATGATCCACCTGCCTTGGCCTCCCAAAGTGCTGGGATTACAGGCATGAGCCACTGTGCCCGACCTAATCGTGCATTTCTTTTGCGCAACTGTTTTATAATTATTTCATGCAATCTCTGTGGGGTTACATTGATATTTTATCTGAATCTTCAAAGTGTCTCTTTCTTGAGATCTCAGAGGTACCAGACTCAAGTCAACTTGCCTGTGTTTTCTTTCCCTCCTCCCACTTTCTTCCATACACATCTGTTAAACCTAATTTTAGCAAATCATGATTTAGGTTCTGGTTATCTGAAGTTGAATGGTAGGATCTCCTTCCTCAGAAAGTCACTCGGGGAAAACTGGATTGCCATATGCAGAAGAATGAAACTAGACCCCAACTCTCACACATTCAAAAATCGACTCGAGATGGATTAACAACTTAAGTACAAGATCTGCAATTATAAACATACTAGAAGAAACCTAGGGGGCTGGGCGGGTGGCTCACGCCTGTAATCTCAGCACTTTGGGAGGCCAAGGCAGGTGGATCACCTGAGGTCAGGAGTTCAAGACCAGCCTGGCCAACATAGTGAAACCCCATCTCTACTAAAAATACAAAAAGTTAGCTGGGCATGGTGGCAGGTGCCTGCAATCCCAGCTACTTGGGAAGTAGAAGCAGGAGAATTGCTTGAACCTGGAAGGCAGAGGTTGCAGTGAACTGAGATCCCACCATTGCATGCCAGCCTGGACAACAAGAGCAAAACTCCGTCTCAAAAAAAAAAAAAAGAAACTTGGGAAGATTCTTCTGGACGTTGGTCTAGGCAAATAATTTATGGCAAAGCTCTCAAAAGCACAGGCAATAAAGACAAAAGTAGACAAATGGGATTTAATTACATCAAAAAGCTTCTGCATAGCAAAATAAATAATCAACAGAGTGAACAGACAACCTATAGTACATGAGAAAATATTTGCAAACTATTCATCCATCAGGGGACTAGTATTCAGAATGTACAAGGAACTCAAACAACTCAACAACAACAACAAAAATGAATAACTTCGTTAAAAAGTGGGAAAAATACATGAATAGACACTTTTCAAAAGAAGATACAGAAATGGCCAACAGGTATATTAAAACATGCTCAACATCACTAATTATTAGAGAAATGCAAATTAAAATTGCAATGAGATATCATCTTACCTCAGCCAGAATGGCTATTACTAAAAAGACAAAAAGTAACAGATGTTGGCAAGAATATGGAGAAAAGAGAACTCATCCACTTTTGATGGGAATGTAAATTAGTACAGCCTCTATGGAAAGCAGTATGGAGATTTATCAAAGAACTAAAAATAGACCACCATTCCATCTAGCAATTTCACTACTAGGTATCTACCCAAAAGAAAAGAAGTCAATATATCAAAAAGATACCTGTACTTAATGTTTATTGCAGCACTAGTCACAATAGCAAAGATATGGAATTTACCTAAGTGTACATCAACAGACGGATGGGTAAAGAAAATGTGGTATATTTATACAATAGAATACTAGTAAGTCGTAAAAAGAATGAAATAGTGTATTTTTCAGCAACACAGATGGAACTGGAGGCCATTATCTTAAGTGAAACAAGACAGGCACAGAAAGTCAAATACTGCATGTTCTCACTCATAAGTGGGTACTAAAAAATGTGTACACATGATAGACCATGAAGACCTGGAAGGGTGAGGGGTGAGATAGGGGTGGAGATGAGAAATCAGTTAATGGGTATATGTTACTTGGGTGATGGACACCCTAAAAGCCCTGACTTAACCACTACACAACCTATGCGTGTAATGACATTGCACATGTACCTGATAAATCAGTATAAATAAAAAAAAAGTCACTTCATTCTGGGAAAGACAGTCATAAGAACAAATTTACAATGAAATTATATGTAATTTTATTGTAAAAAAGTATATGGTAAGAACATATAATTCTAGGGCCAATAGAACTATATGTTATTAGTTTTAAGTATATAGTCGCTAAATAACTGTGACAGAAGAACTGGGACAAGATTTTTTTTTTTTTTTGAGACAAGATCTTGTTCTGTCATCCCGATTGGAGTGCAGTGGTGCAATCATAGCTCACTGCAGCCTCAAACTCCTGGGCTCAAGTCATCTTCTGGTCATAGTCTCCTGAGTAGCAAGGACTACAGGCACAGGTCACCATGCCCAGCTGATTTTTTTTTTTTTTTTGGGTTGGAGTGTCACTCTGTTGCCCAGGCTGGAGTGCAATGGCACAATCTCAGCTCACTGCAACCTCTGACTCCCAGGTTCAAATGATTCTCCTGCCTCAGCCTCCCGAGTAGCTGGGACTACAGGTGTAAGCCACCATGCACAGCTAATTTTTGTATTTTTAGTGGAGATGGTTTTTCACCATGTTAGCTAGGCTGGTCTTGAATTCCTGACCTCAGGCAATCCACCTGCCTCAGTCTCCTAAAGTGCTGGAATTACAGGCATGAACCACCACACCCAGCCCTAATTTTTCATTTTAATTTATTTTAATTAAGAAATAGAGATAGGGTCTCACTATCTTGCTCAGGCTGGTCTTGGACTCCTGGGCTCAAACGATCCTCCTACCTCAGCCTCCCAGAGTGCTGGGATTATGGGAGTGAGCCATTGCTCCTGGCCATTTTAAAATTTTTTGTAGAGATAGGGTCTCACTATGTTGCCCAGGCTGATCAGACAAACTTTCATAGAGTATTTTATTACAGTCTTGAATCTGAGAACATCAGAGAGTGAGGGGGAAAACATTCCCTGGAGAGGAAACAGCATATGCAAACACATCTAGTCATAAAACAGTATGGTTTATTTGGAGAGTAGTTTTTTTGTAGTTGGAGCAGAATGTGCTTGTGGGGAATTGCTGGAGATAAGCCTAGAAAAGGGG